CTATTGCTGCTTCAACCCACAACAGCATGTTGATGAATTCCTACATTTCTGGGCTGGACTCAGTGGCGCTCTGGGCTGAATCTGGCCTACAGGCCACAGGTTGCCAACCGCTAGTGTATACTATCTTCTTTAAAGTTCATTTAGATTTTTAAATAGACTGACTTGAGAATAAAATAGCTGATTTATGGATAACACCATGTGTAAGCAGCCTTATTCCAGAATACGTTTATTTGCATATGGAGTTATCCATAAACAGGTTTTCCAGAACAGCTTTATTAGCTTTTCCTGAATAATGTCATGTATAGACAAGTCCTTCTTAGGATGTTTTGTTTTTAATTCCCCCAGATTTGCTCTTTTCTTATACTGCTTCAAATCTATTGTTTTCTTCTGTCTGCTTTAGATGTACTTTGCAGGAAAAAAACAAACTTGGAACATTATCTTGTAACATTTCATTATTACTAACCAAAGACTGCCAAATTTGAAAGTAGTTTGTTTAAGATTAGCAAGTGCTTTGTATTTTTTCCCCAAGAGCACATCATGAGTAAACATATTCTACAAATTCTATTAAAATATTTAACTAAATAGAATAATTGGCTCAAAGAAAACTTAGGTTCAGTTTCTGTTGCCTAAAGGTGTCGGACTGCTACTAAATGTTGTTTAACTCCACTTGGAGAGATCTTATTTTTGTCTGTGGCTAGACTTGTCCTTCTGAGCATGCTCAGACAAATTCCATTATGACCATCTGTGGCAATCCTACTCCATCTGGGATAGCATGCAGCTCTGTCTCCAAAATGGTGGTTAGAAAAGAAACAGGTGGACTTGCTTTTTGACAGAATAACCTGTATTTTTAGTGCAGTAGCCTAATTAGGGCACTTAAAATCTAGGTCTCCAGCTCTAGTTAACTTCTCACTGCCGTGTAAAATGCTGTAAACACCAGGCCACCGGTTAGAAAAGGCTAGAGGCACTTTCCCTGTCTACTGGGGTCTGGCCTGTGCTCCTGGCCCAGTGGCATTTCTGTTTTACATTAAATAGCCATTGAATGAAATGGATAAACACTGTAAATGTTTAGATACATAAGTAGCACTTATGTCTAAAGATGCCTAAAGATATCTTAGACTGATTATGTTGTACTTTAAATATTACATGTGAATTTTTCAGTGACTATTATGCAATGATCTATTTTCTTCTGAGGGGAAAAAACAGAACGAGTGTTTTGGTTATAACACAGTACAATTTGAGTGTGTGGTTTGTGGCTATATGTAAATTGATTAAATACATAAACGCTTTGGTTAATCAGTTTCGAATTAGGGGCAGAGGAAGAGCCAGAGGAGGTTTTGCTGGTACAAATACTGGTCCCAGCAACTCAAATACTACTTTTCAAAAGAGACCGAAGGAAGAGGAATGGGATCCTGAATATACCCCAAAAAGCAAGAAATACTTCTTGGTGGGTGCTAGAGAATTTATTATATTATGCATGCATTTTTGTTCTCACAGCATATTCTATATCCGGTTTTAAGAAGGCTGTCACTTTATGCATGTTATTTTTGTTATCACTGTCTGTTGTAGCGTCATACTGCTATGAGAGCATCAGGCTTCCAGTAGTGCCAGCTCCAGCATCTTTTTGCTGCAGGAGGGTGGCAATAGCTTGTTTTAAAGGAAGAATATCCACAAAAAAACATTATTTCCATCCTTCGGATGGAGGAATGACAACATACCAGACTAATGCTTACTGAGAGATGGTGCCTCAGCCCTATCTGAGAGTCCAGTAAAAACAGAAAGCCAGCAGCATATCTAGGCTAGACATGGACTGGCTATGGTGGCAGCAGCTCTGCTGCTCTCATTGGAGTATGGAGAAATATGTGCAACTCTTCCACCTTTGGTCTTTTTCTACCAGCAAAAATGCCCCCAAAAACAAACAAAAAAAACTTGTTAAAATAAGTGATCCAAGATTTTTTATTTAGCGCGTTCTAGTTCTGGTTAATAAAGAGAATGTTACATTATCAGTTATTAAGGCGGAGACACATTTTTCTAAACACTCAAAGTTTGTTCAGTGATATTGTAGTGCTTTCATTTAATATGGTATAATCAGAAGTATTATACATGGAATAATTCCAGTAATCATCCTGAAAAGAAACTTCGTACACTGGAATCCAAATATATTGGGTTTAGCTGAGATCTATATTTAGTGTTGTTGCATGCTTATCACATATAACACAGTGTATCAAATAACAGAATCTCCTGGAATACTTGAGCTTTGTTATCCTCAAGGACAAGAGGAACTTTTATAATGAAACCTGGCTCTCAGCCTTGGCTCATACTTGGCATAAAGTTGAACTGAAAAATCACTTTTAAAAAAAAAAGTTCCAAATCTGTTTTTTTTTAAAATTTTTATGTAGCTTCTTGTCCAAAGGTCTTATTTTTATTAAGGTTCAGAAGATGTTTACCAAGACATGAATAATATAGGGGTTTACTTGATGCTCTCTTTTATAGTCAAACAGATGATGGAAAACATTTTGTCATTCAGATTTGTACTAAACTGCAATTCAGACAATTTAGCCAATTTACAACTGAGGGGAAAATTGAATTATTATTAAATTTAAACTATTAAAGCATTATAAGCAATTTTGGAGCTTTGTGGATGAATGATTGATGGATGAAAACTGATCTTAAAAAATCAGCTTTGTTTAAACTGGATTTTACTTAGATAAAACACACATTTTTTCCTTAAAAATCTGCAAGAAAACATGACAGACAGTAGAAGCCTAAATTTTCCATAATCCATTTAATTAAATAGAACCCTACACTTTCCATAATCCATTTGGACTGAGTGAAAACAAAAACTGTCAAACAGAACATTAAACTATAATTATTTTTTATAGAATACTCTTGCTGAAGCTTTAGAGAGTCAAATCACTGAATTGCTAAAAGTTGCTAGCTAAATGCCTGAATGTAAGGTTTGTTGATATGCCAAATTGATATGAAGCAAAACCTGGATACTTCACTGGATTAGGTTCCCTATCTATATTCACTTGCAAACGTGGTTTTGCAGAACAGCTGTGGGTGTACAGAGCCACAGGAAAGAGCTGCCTGGGGACCACTGATTAACTCCAACTTGATTGGAGAAGTAGTGCCTTTTAATTGTAAAAGTGGCCATAAACAGATGACTATCTTGTCCTTAATTCATCTGCAAATTAGGCAGATTGCAAAACAACCAAGTTGTGAAGAAACTTTGTATTAGCCAGATAGAGATAATATTTTTTTCTTCTTTTCAGAAGTGGGAGCCGATGAGACTTATTTGTTCTGAAATCTGGAAGAACAGTTCACTAGCTACATATAATTTCTTTCATTAATTAGTTTTAAATAAACAGTATTTTGATAAACTTTTTTTAGGTATCTAGAACATAAAGTTTTATATTAAATGAAAACAATTTTAATTCTGTTTTTTATGAATTTAATATCTCATTGTTTTTACCCATTGCAAATTGACGAAATTACATATAAATCATTAGTCATTTAGCAAATGTCATTCATGACTAAGTAGAAACTAGTGTATTGTTATATTGCTTAAGTCAGTGATTCTCAACCAGGGTGCCTTGAGCCATACAGGGGTGCCATACAATGTTTTCACTTTTAGATGCAAAAAAATGATCCAAAAGAGAAACCCAGAGATTTCAAATAGGAATCTATAATGTTAAAAGCATTCTGACCTGTTGTGGTCTTCCTGAGGTCTTTGCAACAAAAGAATTGATCTATTATTTTTCTACAGTTAAGAGTGAAAACTAAGAGCCAACACTTTTCTGAGGGGTGTCTCGAGTCTAACAAGGTTGAGGACTACTGGCTTAAGTACATGCATAGGATGCATTTCTCTGGTTAGCAGAATTTAAAAACAAATGCCAAACTTGAAATAAACAATATAATTGGTTGAACAGCAGCACATTTTTAGTGGTTTTGAGCCAAAAAACACCAACTTTTGTTTTGGAAAATTACTAAAATGCAAATACAAAAAGGAAACCAAAGGAACTGCTTCGACCCAGTAACTAAGACTTGTTTTGTATTAAATAAATCACAAAAAACATACTGTGTAGTAAGAGGCAACAGACTTTTGTCTGTTCAGTAACTTCTGACAGGCCCTTTCTTTTACCATACCAGGAGTGAGATCAGCAAGTATCATTAAGTAGGGTGGTAAAGCCAGCACTTCCAGAAGATAGCAAATCTCATTAAGTGATTGGTTTGATATACATCATTATAAATGGGAGTTAGAGTAGTTCTCTACATGACAAGCCTCCAATGTAAAACCCTTCATAAATCAAGGAAGTCTTAATTGTTTTTGGAATTTTGTTTTTTGTAGTTTTAAATGTGGGGACTATGCCTCCTGCTGTGAGCTATAAGTTATCAATAATGGAATCTAAACTGCTAAAATATTTCCTGTAAAACTGCATCTTGAGAGAATTTATATAAATTCAACAGTGTATTGAATTGATCATTCCTACATAATATGGTGTTAAGTACGTTATAGATATTGTTCATTTAACTTTTTCTTCTTCTTTGTCCCTTTTTAATGTAGCATGATGACAGAGACGATGGTGTGGATTATTGGGCTAAAAGAGGAAGAGGTCGTGGCACTTTCCAGCGGGGCAGAGGGCGGTTTAACTTCAAAAAATCAGGTAGCAGTCCAAAGTGGACACATGACAAATACCAAGGGGATGGGCTTGTAGAAGAAGAAGAAGAAACGATGGAAAATAATGAAGAAAAGGACAGACGCAAAGAAGAAAAGGTAGAAAATTCTGGCTTGTCTGTGATTTGATGAATATTTTCTTCCTCACTGTACTCTTAACTTCAATCTCCTAAAATGAAAACACCTTAATGTAGAGTCAGTAATGGACAGAAAGAATGCAGTAAGATTATTTCTCTTTTTCCACAGGAGTAATAAGTTTGAAGAATTCCAACTGAAAGATCAGCCCTCACACTATCTACACAGCATTTTTAATAATTTTCTTTTGTTGTCAAATGAATGTAAGCATTTTACTTAAATTTTACTGTTTGAAAGTAGTATAGAACAATTGTTTTGTTTTAAGCCTTTAGAAACCTTGATATAGTAAACTGTATGCTGATGATCGTACAGGTAGAAAGTAAAATATTTGTAACTCAACTTTTAAGAACTTTTACTGTTTGTTATATGCAGTGTAATTCTGTTTTGTCCAAAATACATGGTCAAGTACAACTCTAAAAGTTTTGATTATTCCCCACGTCTGTATTTTATTCTGAAGTAAACTTACAGCTCTGCACACCTAAAATCTTGGAAGAGCATTTATTTTACACATTGGTACTAACTACATTTAAAAAATGGGCACTGGAATTTCTCTTTGGTTTAAGAGCTAGTTATATAACAGAAGTGGCTTCTTGTTACCAAATAAAAAGTAGTGTTAAGATTGCATTCTATAACCAAGCTGCAGAAGAGACTATTTGAAAATAGTCACTTAATCTTGCCAAAGCAGTCTTAGTGACAGAGTAAAATGGGGACTAACCATATTAACTTCCTGTTTTAATAGTCACAAAAACCTTGCAGTAGATCACATAAGGACTGTTCCCCTTAAGAGCCACTTCTGAGAAAAGGTATATCCACAATACGTATTCAGGGCTTAATTATTAGCACTGTGATTTAAAATGTATGTTTTTAGGCCATAGATAGAAGCCCTCTTTTTAACTCTGTATTAAATATAGCAATAGTTTGATATAGAATGCAAGGCAAGATACACATTCACAGATTTACTCACTCAGAGGCATGAGCTTTTGTAGCTTTAGCTTATTTCATCAGATATAACTGAAGCTATGAAAGCCTCTCTGAATGAGTTAATCTACAAGGTGCTACCCTGTCCTGTGTTCTGCCTAAGGTCAAACAAACATAGGTAGCTACCTTACTTAAGTATAATGTTTCTCTGCATTCTGTTACTGCTACTGGGGTAATGCCTCAATTTTGTTTGTTCAACAGCCCAAGCAGTAGTTGAATTTTATATATGCTAACCAGAAGCACCATCTTGGGGGATGCATGTTCCTGGAATTCTTTCCTAGTTTTATGACAGAAGTAAACCACTAACAAGGAATATAAAAGCACTACCCGTTGTTTAAGCAGTATAATAGATGCTAAATGGCTCCTTCACAACTACACAATCAGAAATGTTTTGAATAACTTCTGCTGACTCATGAGTCACCAATAGAAAGCTTTGGTCAAGAAATGTGTGGCACTATTGATCCAGCTACTCTTTGCATCAGTCTTTATCCCAGTTTGCAAAACTGCTTTTTCAGATTCTTCATGCAGACTTTCCTCTTCAGGTAAGTAGTCTGGCAAGTGAGATTGCTGAAGCACACTTGCAGTTTTAAGTGGAACAATAATCTGAAAATTAAAAAAAAAAAAAAATTTGCACCTTGCTGTACTGAAACTTGAATGCATTTAGCATACAACTTTTTTAAAAAATTTCAATAAGGAGGGCTGAAACACTGCCCCTTCTTGGATACAGGCTAGAGAATGAGTATCACCACAATCACTTCTAGGGTTTAATTAACAAATCTGAGGCAAGTGCCTACATTTTATAGGCCAGTGGTTCTTAACCTTTTCAGACTTAAGGCACCTCTCCATAACTTGTCAAAATTTAGTGGTATCTCATTAAAAAACAAAGTTATTACAGTGGGTAAAAAAATGACTGGACACATCTTTTTTTAATCAAACCAGAAAAATGCACATGAATAACCCATATAATTAATGAGACAGTGAGGCTGGTAGTTCTTGCAAATATCTTGAATTTGTGGCTGAATTAAAGAGACTGATTTCCTCTTCCACTGAAAGTTGCCTTTCCCCTCATATTTTGTTTGTTAAAGCAAAAAAAACTCCAACTCACATATGATGTTGAAAATTACAACAATATTTTTACAGCTCATTTTGAAATGTTGGAATATTGCTTGGTTAGTTAAACCCAGAAGTGATTGAAAAGATACTGCACCATATTTCAGTCTTAGGGTCTGATCACCGTGCTTATCAGGAAGTTCTTCCTGAATCCCGATTCTTGGTGTTTCCGTAAACAGCTTTCTAACCCAGCATATACTCTGTAACATCCAAATCTGGGAAACATTTTTGAATCTTCTAGCAATTCCAACTCATCCGATATCAGTAGCAAGACTTCTATATTATTTGATACACCTCTGGGGGGGAACATTTCTAGTTCTCAGACATTAGCTTGAGCCTTCCAGATCTGAATCTTATCTGGATCCCTGGTAGTCAGCTAAGTTAGGGCTAAGCTTTATCAGAAGCAGTTGAAATATTTTCATTTGGACATTGCATGCTGGTATTCAGTTTACTCCAATGCAGAAATGTGCCAGCGAGATATGCTAGTTTTTAGAGCACCAGCTATGACTGCTCAACAGATCATAGAAATCAGGTGGATGTTTGTGTGTAAAAAATTGTTAACACTTCCTCCTTCAACTTGTAAACTTGGGATAAAACCTTGCCCCTTGATAACCATCTTACTACTTTGTGCAACATGATACTGGTATATTCAGATTTCCATTGTCTTGCACAATCTTGAAAAAACAAAAGATTTTTAGTGGCCTTTTAATGTAATTGACGGCTTTTACTGTGCGCACATGCTTTTTACAATTCCTGGATATATTTTTTTCACTACAAGAGTGTCTCAGTGAAGGACGCAGTGGCACGTCTACAGGTGCATTGATATGCCATAATTATGGCGCACATTAAGTTAAGTATCTGTAATAAGTACTAAATGTATTGTAATTGGTGCTACTGCACAGTATTGCTGGCGCAGGTCTTTTAGGTGACATGAATACACAGTAGGCTAATTCTGTTGTGCATTAGTGCAGCTTTTGCTGGGACACACTAATTCACAGTAGAATTAATCTGCTTGTAGCATCTCATGTAGACGCGCCTAGTGAGTTGTAACACCACTTGGATTCTGTTTCTTCATGTTTGAAACAAATCCTCATACTGACCCAACCATAGTGGGAACACTGTGCAAACACCTACACCGGATTTCCAGGAGAATAAACCCAAAGATTTCAAATATGAATCTACTGTCAAGAACACCCTAACCTCTTATAGTGTCACTGAGTTCTTGATAGTAAAAGAATTGCTTTACTTCTCTATCATCAGCCAAATGAATAAAAGCTAGGAGTGGGCATTTCTTACTTATCTGTTGATTTATCTACCCAAAGAGGGAAGGTAATAGCCATTTCAACTTTTTTCCTCACATTTTTTTTCAGTATTGGAAGTCTCCTAATGGTATCATTGGACAGTAAAATTTTATCAATTTGTGAGTTTAGCAATAGAATGTCTGCTTAAAGAATTAGGTAGCCTTACCTCTTTTCCAGATTCACTTCTAATCAGTTGTGCTTCTAATACTTTTGTTGCAGCAATAGCAGAAGCTAGGGTCTAAAATAAGAGGTTTACTGTTTTAAACGTAAGAGTCTAAGAACATGAGAAGTGCCATGCCAGGTGAGACCAATGATCCATCTAGCTCAGTATCCTGTCCCCAGCAGGGGCAAGAATGGATGTTTTAAATAGAAAGCATTGCACTGGGTATATCTAGAGTGATCTGTGCCCTGTTCATTACCCACCCTGGCATCCAAAATACATAATTATAACACAGCAAATTTACTGCTAAAGATCCAACTTTAAAATACTGTTAAGGCAAAGAAAGTTGCAATTCATTGAACAGTACTTCCAATCAGAGATGACCCGAGCAGGGTGTAGGGTCCAGGGCAAATTAGCCTGTGTGGGACCCTGCCCCCAGACGCACGGAAACAGGCAGCAGATTCAGCGGCAAGTGCACAAATGTAGGGGGGCATATGCCCCCCCATTACTCCCACCCCTGTGCACTGCAAGGAGCTGGCCCCAGTGCCAGCCCCTGGTGGCTTTGTCTTGCTCCTCCAACTGGGTCCTGCAGCTAGGGGTGCTGCCCAGCCAGGGCAAGAATGCATATCCCCCAACACTCCCTCACCTTGGCTACTGCTGCTGCCTCAATCTGCCCTGCTCTTTCCCCACCATGACTTACCTGAGGGAGCTGCTCTCCCTCGCTGCCCAGGGCCTGTACTCCCAGCCACGTACATGCGAGTATGCACTCGTGTATGTGATACCCCCTGCGTCCTGTTCCCCCCAGCCTCTTGCAAGCTGGAACTCTGCCAGCCTGCAAGGGGAAACCTGTAGTTTTCCATGTTTTTTTCCTTTAAAGGAGAAAATCTGCATTTTCCTGCAGTAGACAGAAAATCTGGATCCCTGGTAGTCAGCATCTTCAATCTTTTTTTCCTTACCATAGCAAAAGAGCTCAATAATTTACCCTCCACCCCACAATCAATTTGTTGGAAAGTAATAGCCCTTGGTTGTACACGCTCTTTGATCAGGTACAGCTGTTACCTACATACCCAAGATGTTAAATGCAGTATATGATTTTAAAATGTGACCCTGAAGGATACAAAATGTTATCCTGAAGAGTATGCTTAGTGAAAGCGAAGCAGCAACTTGGCTAACAAGGCATTTGCTTAATTCCTTACTGGCTTCAGTTAAGGTTCAGAAAAATATATGTGTGGTCAAACAAGGCTGTTTTAGGTTTTCTTGTTTTCCAGACTCTCAAAAAAAAGAAAAAAAAAAAG